GGGAGCTGCTGTCCATCTCTCATAGCAACCCTGGACGGGAAAAGGAACCGCCCAGACCAATAGTGCCAGAGTGATATCATCTGATCATCAACCTCAAACATGGGCGCGGAGCCACACAGTGCATTTTCATATTGTGGAAGGTCTTCATCCTTCACTACCCCCTTTTATATGCAGGGCCTTTTTTCCTGCAATTATTAATCCTGCAGAACAAGTGAAATTGGCTTGTCATATTAAATGGGAAGTTGTGAGCTTTATACAACTGAATGGGTGCCAAGTAAATTAAGCTTATTACAACTTGAATCTGTAAATCTGTTTTATTTATTTTTTAACCTCAAGCTTAATGTAGCTTCTCCTATTGATGCAGTCCATTAGTTGTAATAGAAGTCTGTCTGTGGAGTATCAGTTGTCATTCTTCTTGAGCTTGAGTGCTCTTAATTCCCTCAAGAGCCCATCTGGACAAGCATATTTTCAAACAATATGACAAGACACTACAATGTAAAATGTAGGGTTAGGCATCACACACATTTCCATTGTGCCTGAATGTATATGTATAGTCGGAAAAAAATTGAAGTATAGTAAAGCAGTGGCATTAAAATGCATAAACAATTTGAATGTAGGCCAAGCGTTATGAAATAATCAGGTCTTAATCACAAAATTACACAGATGAGTTGCAATAGCTGTGAGTGTAAATAAATATGAGATAAAAATTACTAAAGTGCAATAGCATCAGTGAATGTTTTCCAGAAATGATGCTGCACCAGAGTTTAGATCATGTTCACGTATGCAAACAAGGTGTTTATCACATTGCATATTCTACTTTTACTACTCTCTCTCTTTTGTCAAAGTTGTGCATAGCTGCCCATTTTCTACCACCATCCCTCTCTAAAAGTGTGACTGAGGGGGCCATGTGTTCTCCTTCCCCCCACCCCCATCCCACCACTGCTCTGCCCATATGTGCATTCGAGTGGCAGCTGCAAACTCCCCCGCTTGCCCTCTGAAAAAAAAGAAGTGAAAAACAGCCCGCTGCACAACAGTGAAAGTAGGAAAGCTTTTCTGGTCAGAGCGTGTCTGGCTGCCACTGTGAGTGTCAGGAAGACACAAAAAGAAAATTGTAGGGGCTTCTGGGGTCTATTGTTGTAGGAAACAGTAAACCAGTCATTTGTAAGGTACATTTGTCGTCTGCAGTGTTCATTTATAAAAGAGAAACAGCCTCTCTTTTGTGTACTTTCATACTGTCTTGTGATTAGGTCCGTGCATTAATTGTGTGCACACACCCCACACACACAACCTGCAGTTATCCACTAATAAAGCACAACAGTAGCCTCCCCATCTGCCTCCTCCAACTCCCTTTGGGGACCGCAGGAGGTGTAGAACAGCAGACTGTGCCATAGTCTGCTCAACACATTAGTAACTCACTGACACACAGGGGCCGGGCGGGCACATATTGCACATATTGAGGCAATGCCAACGGAAGTCTCATCCAGCACCAATTAGAATATTACAAGACAAGTGTGCAGGCAGAGAACGAAATGCAAGGGTGTGCTGCACATGCAGACACAAATATGGAACAGGCCTTATACTTGTGTCTCTTTAACGTCCTGTTTTACATACACCACAACACTCAATGAAATGTCAACTCATACGCACACACATATCAGATCTGCTGACGCCTACGGCATAATACCCATCTTGTGCATAGGAGGAACTGAAGCCATGTGAATTAAAAGTAAACTAAACAGATCAGAAAGTCGCATAAGTAAAAGTACAAAACTGTAACTATAGCCACAGAAACTGCCAAAGTATCATGGGGCCTGGGTAACATATTCCAAAAGACAATTTATTAGATTATTTAAAAAAGATTTAAATGTAAGATATATAGCAAACACCGTTATACATTCTGGCACAATCTGAGGCATATTTTCAGAAACATGCTTGATGGAGTTATATTTTCAGATGGCAACTTAGGGTTTCATGTTCCATCTTGAAATTCACATTGATAATTCACATGGCATTAAACTTTAAGCACCTGGTTGACATCGGACATGGCATGGGAAGGCTTCAAATCTCCCAAGAAAGTAATGCTGGAAAAACTAAGCCCACTACACCAGAGGACCTTTGCTCACGCTATCCATCCACGCATTCCCTTTTTAAAAATGTGATGTTAATCCAGTGATTTATTCACAGGAGTCCTGAAGTGCCTCCTCTTGAGTTGAGGAGGCAAGCATCCTTTTGCACTGACCCTGGAACTTGGAACATGTGTGTTAATGTGCGTACTTAACATCAGACACTCAGCACTTTATCACTTAGACAGGAAACTCAGGGTCTTGTTGGGTGGACACAGCAGGACATTTTGATTTAAAAAAAAAAGCTGTGTGTGTGTGTTTCAGAAAGACGACGGAAAGGAAGACTGAGAAGGAAAGGAAGTCTCTGTGCATGTGTAGCCTTTCACACTCACTGCTGGTGTTACAGTTTATATCTAATGTATGACTTTTACCTTACACACCACACAGGATGAAAGACGATTGACACACACTTGAGCCGTGGTTGCTGTAACAGTCTGCCCACTTCATTCTGTCATAAGCAGCACTGAGAATAGAATATATATATCATGTGTCTCAAACAAACACAATCAATAACCAATGACCATTTGCTACAGCTATATCATTCACATTAACCAATATAAGCAAGCTTTAAATTAAAAGGCATGATGCTACTGCCTCACATCACAAGCAACATGTCAGTACATGCAAAAACACGTCATTGTCTTCAAAGGCGTAGGAGGGTCGACATCTTCCCATGTGCTGCCTTTGAGGGCAATGAAGCATTATGATAATATGACAATTAATATGGATGAGGGCCCAGTCAGGCTCCTGTGGTACTCAAATCAGTGCCCATCCTCAAATCTGAGAACGCATTTATGGTGAAACAGAGCAGAACAGCCAGGCTGGCCTGCCGTTCTCCTTCACACACTCCTTCTCCCCTTGGCAGACTGTCAGTGCCGGCCCCCTCCCACAACACACATGCAGAGATACAGAGATGAAGACAAAGACATGAAGGTGTCAGAATACATGTGTTGAAAATCCCGGGGGTTAGGTTTTGGACCTGCTTTTTGAAATCTCTACAGATATGAGATATATTTTTTCACACTTATTTACATCACGGTCAGTGGTTAAAGTCAAACAAAGTGGAGGATGGATACTCCTACTCTCTGCAGATGGCTGGCCCTTTCGAATAGTCAGTCTGCCAGGGAAAGGCATATCTTTTCTACATTATCATAACTCTGAGTCTGGTAGAATCTACTGCCACACAGAGACAGATGATGATCCTCCGGAATTACACCTGCATATAAAGCCAAATGAGGACTGGGGACTTCTTGTTTGAGCAGCTATGAACCCTAATGCATGGCCGTAGATGCAGCAGGGTCAATGATGTGTTGAGATCAGGCTGTAGTGTCACTTCAAGAGCCCTCTCCCACTGGAGTGCCCTATACGTGCTTAATGAGCATGCTTGAGAGTATGACTACATCTAGAAGTGCATGTTTGATCAAGTGTTTACAACTGAGTATTTGTGCCTTTCAACTGGAGAAGCTTTTATGGATACATGTCAAGTCAATGTTAGCCTTTAGTTTCACAGTTCACTGCCCTTCTGTGTCACAGGACTTCAGGGAAGCCTGTGCTGTAGCGGAGAACATAGGCATTAGCTTCCTGAGGGACCCACGGGAATGCAAGGTGGGCTTTGGATTGAGTGGCAGTTTTTCACAACCTGGCCCATTCACCTCTGTCAGAGCGCATGCAGGAGCCATTCGTCATGAGAGCCTTAAAATCACCATCCATCCATATATCTTTCTTATAAATGATTGTGGAATCACAGCACAAAAAAGAGAGAGAACAGAATATAGAGACTAAAAACACAGCAAGCAAAGAGAAAGTGGAAGGGATATCCAGATAGATCCATGTTTTTTACTATTACAGTGCCAGTTGCTGTAAAACGGATCAGTGTGGAGGTGAAATGGTGATGGCAGCTGCACCAAGGACATGTTTTGAGATGGGGAGTGGAGACCAACAGTGGCCCACTGCCGTCGCTGCTCAGTACTAAGTAAGCTCTACTAAGGCAATTTAACCCCATGTCTGACTTACTGGTGCTCTCAAAAGTGCCTCCCAGCTTGCAAACGTAATTTGAATGTTTTAACAGATATTTATTTGATTTACCCAGATCATATTTTACATTAAAAAGCAACCTCACTGTGCACTGTCTCGATAGCTTTAATTGACAAAATGAAATATCTGTGATTTTATTGTTACCCCATATCCCAAACTGGCGCACAAAAAGCCCAGAAAAAGTCAAGAGAAAAATGATGCTGAGTCATCATACGTTGAGTAAAGAATTCATAACATTCAAAGATTACACGTTTTATACACCCTAGCCCTAAAGCATGCAATCGAGTGCACATGGAACCCTAACAATTACAAATAAATGTTGTACTCGCAGGCACAGATTTTACAGACCTAAATATGACGCATCAGTCTGGCATTTGACCACATTGATTGGCCTATTTCCGGCCACCTGCCATTTTCTCTTTGATACAGAAGGTCATCAATTATCCTTCAGCTACAACCTATGGCTACAACAAGGAAGGCCAACATTTGATGAGTAGGCCACCTAAATTGATATGCACAGCAGAAACAAATTTGCTGGATTTAGTTTACAGGCTTGAGTTTGGCACAGCCATGTTTTCAATTCTTGTTTTCTGTTCACCCATTGGAAAAGCAAGTACTCCAAGTTTTGACAAACATCTGGGATCTCTGCTTTTTACCATAGCTGCTGAAAAGAAAAACCATTATGAATGTATATTTTAAGCAATAGGAACAATATGACGTGTTATCTAATTAGGATACAAGTCCCATTTATCAGAGCCCTGATTGAGGATGTCATGGATTGAGCCGGTGCCGCTCTGTGTTCACTTGGCTGAGTCTGCTCGCTCACTGGAGAGGAGTGGGAGAGGGAGGGGAGAAAAAAGAGCAGCGCAGCAGCGGGCAAGCCACCAGCTCTGAAACCCAGAAATAAAGGCGAACTTAGCTTATATACGCAAGAATTATTCACTTTGGTTAACGACATGATAGTTCGCAGAAAACAACATACTGTTCCGGGGATTTAGGCGGTGCGACTCTGTTGTTTGTGGACTCTACTCGAGACGGCTGGAAACTGAGAAGGAAAGAAAACAACAACACTGGAAAAAGACGGAGGTTACACACAACAGTAACAATAAAACAACACTCCCCGACAAGTGGTCTGCCCGGTGCCGAGGGGGAAGTCCGAGCAAAAAAAACTGGATATATTGGTGAATTTATACTCTATTTGTATGATTGTGAATGTTTATTTCAAGATAGCGTTTCTGGGGGAACTTTTTACTCGGGAAACAATGAAGACATAGCAAGCAGGAACTCATCAAGTGTCTCGAAGCTGCTAGCCTCACAGCTAGCCTTAGCTCGGCTATCTCGCAGGGAGCGAATGCCAGGCGAAGCTAACGCCCGCTAGTGCGGACAAGTGAGCTAGCTAAGTTAGCTTGTCGGCTAACGTTAGCTGGCTAGCTAAACGCGTTTTTGAGAAACTTTTGGTGGTGTTTCCCCAGAGCCAAAACACTGAAGGAGTGTTGTGAGAACAGAGGGGAAGGGCAGGTTCCCTTTTGGACTTTTTCCCCTCTACATATTGTCCTAATATGATGGCTACGGAGGTCAGCAGTGAGGAGACGGTCACGACAGGGACAGGGGTGGCGGGCGGAGGAGGCCCGGATACGGCCACTTTCCCCTACTATCCCAAGCCGAGCAGAGTGCGAGTCTCTGATTTGGGACAAGGACCAGCACCTACCCTCCAGCAACATTCTAACACATATCCGGACCCACTTCCCGACACGAGTATGACCTATCCCATGTCTAGTGGGGATATGACCGCACCAGTGCTTTCCGCAGAAGGGAGTGGCGGAGCAGGAGGTGGACAGGCAGTTTTCCAAGGAACAAGCTCAGTGACCGGGGGCAGCCTTTGCAGCTCTCCTACATCGGAGGGTCCAGCTAGTCTGGTTTCACCCACATCAACAGGCCCGGATGGGACCAGTGACTTCCCCCCACTGCCACCACCTCCTCCTCCCCCTCCAGGCAGTGTGGTGCTCGGTGGCACTATGGATGAAAACGACCTGCAGGATGGACCTGAATACGAGGAAGAAGAAGTCGTGTTCCCCCTCTCTGCACCCCCCACGAACCAGTAAGTTACTCCTGCATACAATTTTTAGTTTTGTTCATTCACACCTAGAAATCAAACATTCAAACATCCTGTACTTTTGTTTGGTTCACTTCCTTCATGCTGTCATACTCTCGAGGTCTGCATTTTACTTAGTTTTACTCCTGCAGGTTCAATAGTGACCTGGGCTATTCACAGTTATGTTATATATTTACATAGCGCAATCATTTCTCACAGTAACCCACCATGGTTTTCTAACTCTACTATGGTTACTGGTTACCTTCTGTGTATGTTTCCTCATTTGCAAACTTGTTGTTCTCTTAAGAATACTTTTCTAGTTAAATGGGTTGCAGAAGTTGGACTTTGGTGACACTTTACGTTGTGGTTTAAACAGTTCAACTAAAGTCAGATTAGTTGAAGCATCAAATTGGTAGACACCCATTCAAATTAGAGCTAACAGCTCAGTATTGCCTACAATCAGTCAAAAAGTTATCAATTGAGATCAAGCATGCACGATTTAAAACATTTGTATTGATTGACTATCTAAACATTATTGGTCTTCAACTGATCACATATAAAGTGCATCTTGTTCTTTAGGAAAACAGTTTTTTTTAACAACCAACATATTCACAACACAGTCAAAGTAAGTACTGGTATGTAAATATTAAACTTAAATACTTTATCTAAGGAATCGACAATGAATAATGCATAAACACCATCAAACAAAGATTATTTGCCTGATCCTCTAGTCATTGATTGACTAGTCCCAATTATTACGTTCATAAAAGTAAACTAAAGTTACAAGGCACTTAAAACAAAGCCAAATTCCATCTTGCATCAACTAAAAGTTGTAGCATACAAATGCATACCAGCAAGTTGAATTGGATGACAGATTTCCCGTGGATCCTACTAGTAGTTGTTCAACAATACAAGCACATCCATCTGGTAGATAGATCATTCTGTGGCCCTTTACCATAACACAATCAGCTGATCTGTTTCCAACAATTAAAACAATCTACACATCAGTTTTACCATAAAAGAAAAGTAAAGGAAACCGCAAAAAATGGTTTGATGAAGAGTTGGAGGTGACGAGCTTCAGTCTGTATTGATGTAAAACTGTATCAAATGCCTAATTTAAATAATTGATTAGAAATGACCCTTTTAACTTTGTAATATAGATTCAGGTTAAGTATCTTACCGCTCCATAAACTCCATTAATCCATTAGTTGGTATATTACTGCAATAGTAGCATAATTATTTGCATCTAAATGTTGTGCTCTTTTATGCTACATGGGAAATGTGTGTGTGTGGTGTAATAACCTAAATACAGCCCTCCCATTTGTTACAGTCTCATTAGAGAACTGCTGAGCGTTGTCATTTCTGGCCCTCATACTGTAATATATGGAAGTGACTGGGCCTGAGTGTGGATTCAGCTCTTATTTTAGGAGCCTCCCTATATCTCCCTTTCAGAATACAGAGGAAAGGGAAGGCTAGCTTTTCACCAGTCTTTCCGGTACTGGTAATGAACAACCCTAAATGGAATTAACTGCAGTTGAATTCAAGTTCTTCAAAGTTTGACTGTGGAAGTAGTAGTTTTTGTCAAGGAAATACAGACTTCTTCCTGTGTTTGCACTTGGATCCAGTTTATCAACTTGCAGAGTTTCCAGTAAAGCAGTGGAACAGTTGTAACGTGTGCATCAATGGCATATATTTTGTTTTGTTATTGCTTTAACTTTGAGATTCTTGTAATCAAATGTTCATTTTCCACATTCAGTAACACCGTATACTGACACACATAAGTGTACAGGCTGGTCAGAGTCATATTGAGTCTACTCACTTACTACTACTCTAAGACACTTTACTCAACAGAGTTGTGCAAGGCACATGTGAACATAAGCTTTTCCTCTATATTGTGGTTGTGGTCTAGTTTAATTGTTTCTAGTGGTGGTAAATACTCCGGAAAACTCGACCGCATTTATTTAAAGTTTCCGGTTATTATTAATGTGCAATTTTCTCTAAAGTTGTTGTAAAATGTATGTTGGTGTGTAACAAAATGTGGCCTAAAATTATGTAGATCTCTAGAAGAATAGAAAAATTCTGCTTTTTTAAGGACGGATTTTTGTAATTAAAGCGTTTACTATTGTATGAGAATCAGCGCTTCCGCCAGGGGGGCGTCTTGCCGCCATTTGACAAACAAATATAATTCGAGAGAAGATCGAGAGTTTTTATCGCTTGAAATGACAAAAAGGAAAAAGGACAAGGTAGGGGTGTAACGGTTCACGGTTCGGTACGTACCTCGGTTTGGCAAGTTTCAGTATACAAATAAGGAACTCTAACATTTTGAATAATTAACTGTATTACACAGTTAAAAACAAACCACAAACAGTACCACACACACTCAGATGGCCATATTATCTATAATGGCTGATGTCAAACAAAAAGGTGTCATCAAGCTGTAAAACAAAAAAGAATGTCTTGAAAATATTACATAATAATTGATAAGAAAGTGTTTCAAGGGCGCATAGCCGTTGAAATATATATGCCAATATATGCCAATTATTTATTTTGGTCTCTCGGCTTTCATGTCTATTGGCTTCTTAAAAACAGCGGGGATAAGCTGTTGAACTGCTGTTGTCTTTTGCCTGGCTCCGGTGATTGGCAAATCTGGGTGATGCCTTCTGATATGATTTAGCATGTTTGGCGTGTGTTTCCCATTAGCATACCGCACCGCTGTCGAACAACGCCGACACACCGTCCTCGTCCAATCCACCACTTGCGCTCCATCATTGTTGTAGTCCACAGGGAACCCGAAATGTTCCCACACAGCTGAGTGTTTGTACGGTTTGTACTCATCATAATAACACAAGTGATGCAAGCAAGGCCAGACACAAGCCCTCCTAAGGGCTCGTCATATAGCCTTCATTCATACTCTACTTTGGCAGTGAATGCTTTTCAAGAACAGACAAGTTGTAAGGTGATTCCATCCCTTTGTAATGATGACCCAGTTAAAGCAAGGGTCTTTCTCTCCTTCAGGATGTGCCACTTATCCACAGCGATAGACAAGGCTGAGATGCAGACCAGTGTTTCCGCCAGACCAGGGCTGAGAGGGCGTCCACCCCGAGAGCGGGGGGGGGGGGGGGGGTGCTTGAATTTTGACTTGAGCCGTCCCTTATAGATACTGTCTTCTTGCGTTAGTGAGCCGGATCATTTGGCTCGGATCTCTTAAAGCGCTGGCTGAAACGGCTCTTCATGTTACCACATTTTACCACGGTGCCTCAGTTTCGCCGCTGCGAGGCTCTGGTGCTCGCAGCTCAAGCGCGTGCTCCACTAGCACCGCTCATCGCGTCCAAATCGTGCACGTTCTGTGTTGTCCTGTAGCAGGCACCGCCGATGTCGGGGAAACGATCTTCAATACTCCGAAAAGAATCCCACCAGACTCCTTTGCCCCTCCAACAGAGGGATGTCCTTGTCCTTTTTCCTTTTCGTTATTTCAAGCGATAAAAACTCGATCTTTTCTCGAATTATTAATATTTTTGGACGCCCTCGGCTCGAGTTCAGGGCATCCCGAGCTGAATAAGGGCGTCAAATGACGGCAAGACGCCCCCCTGGCGGAAACGCTGATGCAGACCCTCTGTGAGGTTACTGTCTCATTCAGTAGTTCTGTCCTGTAGATGATGCCTAGTCTAACAAGCAGGGAGGAAGGCAAACGCATAACGATCATGGACATAGTTCAAGCTTTAGCCGGGGGGCAATATATTGAAACTCATGGTCACATTATACGGCATGAAATTGTATGATGTGTCACATTATGTTTGTGAACATCCAATCTATGCGTAATACAAGCCATGCATGCATACATACATCATGCCATGCGTGCATACATTTGTTTTTTCGTAATGGGCTTTTTTTCATTGTGCCTATAATAGCAAATGCCATTGGCAAATCTACCATTGGCAGTAATGGGTGGTACATTACCAGCTGACTGCCTTGAATGATTCTGAATTTCACTCGGTCACTTAAGCTGTGTCACTACCTGTGTATGCTTCTGTAATCGGTCTTCAAGATTGATCTGTATGCCTTTGAGTTATGTTAGCAGTCAGCAAAGTGCATGTTAGGAGAGTGATGGTGGAACACTTCCACACCATTGGTCCCACGGTGTGTGTTGCACAGTGACTGTGAAGGCTAAACTTGGCACATTCGCTGAGTAAAAATGTTCGAGAGTGAGAGAGGCAAACGGCAGTCACATTCATCTACACAACAGTGTGTCATTCATAAATAATTGCTGCGGCAATGAGGTAAGAATGTAACACTGATGATGGCTTAACAAAGACGCAATAGTAAAGATGTCAGGTGGCCCTAACAACGCACTTCCTGCTGCCATTACAAACCTCCGGCACAGTGCATGAGCTTAAACAAACAGCATGTTGAGAAATTAGTCGTTGATTTTGAGTTTCCACGGAGATTATCAAGGATTTGGAATCGTGAAGGGTTTCTTCGAAAAGGTGGTAGTAAGCGGAAGGAGAAAAGGGGGAAAGAAAGGTTGGATTTAAAGATCAGTGATGGTGTGAATGAGTTAAACAGTTGGCAGTGGACATCGCTCTATAACTGCAGGGTTAATTGAGTACCTACACCACTTAATGGCCCTTTGTGTGGGGAGGGAGAGACAATGGAATATTTCTGAAATGGCACAAGCGTCATGTCGCATATCGTAACACTTTATTACCTGATAGAGATTGGGTCTATTAGTGTTCAAATGACAACACTTTTATAACAAAGCATGGTGTTGATAATGGGATTGAATCAGTCATTTGACAGTTTTATGGCGCAGTTCCACTGCAGCGCGGAGCTCGCTTTAAGCGTGCCGTGTCGTGCCGTCCCCTTTTTTGGTTGTGCTTCCACTAGGCCAATTACCGGCGCGGCACGGCGCGGGGCCACTTTTTCACCTCTTTTCTGGCCCTAGAAAATTGTGGTTCTATCGGGGCCAACAAACAGGGCTGAGTCGGGCTGAGTATGCTAAACTAGAG